CCTGGGGGGGCCCCCCAGCAGCAGCTAGCCAAAAAACGGGGTTATGGGGGGCCCCACAGCAGCAGCTAGCTGGGGGCCCCCCCGTGCTCCTTTATGTCTTTTTGTCCTTTCTTTTTTCCTTTTTGTTTCTTCTTTTGCGTCAGTCTTCTTTACATCTTTACCTTAATTTGCTTCTTCAAATTTCCTTTCTTTTGAGCCTCTTTACCCCCACAGCTCGCTGCTGCTGCTGCTGCTGCTGCTGCTGCTGCTGCTGCAGGTGCACCTGCCCTCGGCAACAGTTTTCCAGGACTGGCCGACGCCCAAAACGCCTCTTCATTATGTCACCTCTGCGGCCTTCAGGCAAGGGACTTTTTGTTTTGCTGCTGCTGCTGCTGCTGCTGGTTTGCTGCTGCTGCTGATTTGCTGCTGATGCTGATTTGGTGCTCCTGCTGCTGGTGCAGCTTTGCTGGTGATGCTGGTGTTGCTTTGCTGCTGCTGCTTTTTTTTGTTGCTGCTACTGCTGGTGCAGTTTTGCTGCTGCTGCTGCTGCCGTCGTGTTGCTGGTGTAGTCTTGCTGCTGCTGCTGCTGCTGTACTGCTGCTGCTTTGCTGCTGCTGTTGCTGCTGCCTTTCCCCGTGTCCTCCGCCCCCGTCGCTGGCTTCTGAACTTGCTGCTGCTGCTGCTGCTGCTGCTGTGGGGCCCCACACTTGCTGCAGCGAGCGGCGAGGCCTCTTCGCCGTGGGCAACGCGGCTGGGCGCGTGCTGCTGTACCATTTGAGGGACCTCAATTAATTTAAAAAAACAAAAAAGTAGAAAACAAAAAAGAAATAAAAAGAAACAAAAAGGATTTAAAATGAAATATATTAAATGACACAAAGGGACACAATGGGGGGCCCCACAAACAGCAGCTCAAACCCCTTTGGGGCCCCCTCTACAGCCCCACGCCACGGGCCCCACGGGGGGCCCCCAGGGGGCCCCTCCTGGGGCTCCTGGGGGCCCCCCGTTAGGGGCCCCAAGGGGGCCCGTTAAGGCGGCCTATAGTGTGTAGGGGCCCCCTCTAGGGGCCCTATGGGCTCCCCGTTGGGGGCCCCCCTGGGATATCCCCTTGGGAGCCCCCTTTAGGGGCCCCCAGGGGCCCCACCATAGTCAACTCTCACTTAGGGGCCCCAAAATGAACCCTTTTGGGGATACCCTTGTTCTGTACCCTGGGGGCCCCTCCTCTAGGGGCCCCCTGTAGGGGCCCCCTCGCAGAAGTTTTCCTTTAGGGGCCCCCTGTCGGGGGCCCCCACTTAGGGGCCCCCTACAAAGGGCCTCTCCTCGAGGGGCCCCCTGAAGGGGCCCCCACCTGTAGGGTCCCCCTGTGGGGGGTCCCCCTCTAGGGGCCCCTTGCAGGGGCCCCCACCAATAGGGGCCCCCTTGAGGGGCCCCCCTCTAAGGGCCCCCTTTTGGGGGCCCCTTTGAGGGTACTTAGGGCTGCCTAGGGAGGCACAGAAAGGGAACAATGGGGGCCCCTTGGGGGCCCCTCTCTGGGGGTCATTGAACTGTGGGGGCCCCCAGGGCCTCCTGGGGTCTTTTTTGATTATGAATTCATCTGCATGCTTTTATTTGTTCATTTCTTTTTCTTTTTTGTTTTTTTTGGCGATCAGTTTGTTATTTTTGTTCCTTTTTGTCAATCGGTTTATTATTTTAGTTCATTTAATTCATTAATTCCTTTTTTGTTCCTTCATAAGATCCTATTTGATGTTAATTCACTTTCTTTTATTTTTAAAATAATTGATTTTTTTCTTTCTTTGTATGTTCGATTTATCCACTTCGTTCCGTTTTTTTATTTGTATTCATTTTGTGTCACTCCTTGACGCTTTTTTTCTGAGTTTTGTTTTTTATTTTATTAATTTTATTTGTTTATTTTTTGATTTCTTTTTTGATTTGTTTTCATATTTTGCATTCTAGTTTATTATTTCCCTTTTTCTGCTTCTTTTGGATTTATGACTTGTCTTTGAAAATCAAATTCATTTTTTATTTTTTGATTGTTGATTCATATTTTTGGATATTTTCATTTTTATTCTTCTTTTGGGTTCCTTTTTGCTTCTTTATTTTTATTTTCTTTTTTCTGATTTATTTATTTCTTGTTGCTGGGATGATCAGTCACACCGGGTGCTTGGTGCTGCCGCTGTTGCTGCTGCTGCTGTTGCTGTTGCTGCTGCGGCTGCTGCTCTTTAGGCATTTAAAGACTTCAGTGGAATAATAAAAATAACTCTTCATCATTTTTGAATTCTTGATCTGCTTGCGAATTCAATTTGGAGAAGATATCCATTCGATTTGCAACACACTTCAAATCTAATTTGCAATTTACCACATGGTCATTTTGCGCGATTTCAGAAGTTCAATTTGCAAAAAACTTCGAATTTAAATTCTAAAAAAGTTAAAATTAAATGTTTAAAAGACTAGAAATTCAATTCGAAGAAGACTGAAGATTCAATTCGCAAAAAGCTGGGAATTCAGTTTGCGGGAAGGGGAAAATTCAATTTGCAAGAAGTCGCAAGACAGCAGGAATTTAATTTGCAAAAGACTCGAAAAGGAACTTCAAAAGACCTTTTATTTATTTGCAAAAGACATTTGATTTAATTTGCAAAAGACATTTAATTTAATCGGCGAAAACCTTCAAGTTCAAGTTGCAGCATGCCCCAAATTCAAGTCTCTGTCACCCCAAGGCTAAAACCCCTAAACCCTAATTCCAGATTCAACTTGCATATTCACGTTCAGAAGGCGTGATTTCGACTAACGATTGAAAATTTGAATTGCAAAAGACTTTAAATTCGATTTGCGAATAAAATAAATAACTTGAAGGCGAATTTGAATTCAACTTGCGACTTTCCGTAAATTCAATTTGCAGTTTGTCTCGATTTCAAATTGCAAAAAACTCCAAGTTCACTTTGCAAATGACTTTAAATTCAATTTGCAAAAGAATTTAAATTCAAATTTCGAGATTTTCCCGATATAATTCCGGGTTTCTACAGATTCAACTTTCCTTTTCCCCCGCATTCATTCGCAAATGTGTGCGAATTCGGGTTTAAATTCACAACAAATTCGACTTTGAATTAACGGTTAAATTAATTTTTATTTAAAACAAGTTTAATTTTGAATTTTGAAGAAGTTTAATTTGCAATTTTTTGAATTTTGAAGCGATCTGATACAGACACAATTTGCTGAACACTGGGCTGTGGGAAGTATCTAGGTGCACAGGCGAGCCGGTCTCGGGCGCGTCACTCGAGCCAAAAAAGCTGCAAATTTCAAATTGAATGCAAATTCAATTTTAAAATGCAATTAAAAGGAAATTTACTTTAAACATTCCGGAAAATATCCCGCAAAGAGCTTCAGCAGCACGGAAGGGCCCTGCTGGGCGGATCCCACCACAGCGACGCGGTGTAGCTACACCTCGGCGAAAACTGCGCAAATAAAGAAACCCCTTTTCATTTATTTCCGCCACAAATAAAAACAAAAGAATTCAAAGCGCAAACACGCGGAGCAAAGGAGGGGCTGGGGGTCTGCAGCCGCCATTGCCTCCGATGCCTGCTGGGGGCCCCCTAGGGGCCCCCAAGGGGCCCCTGTCTTTCCATTTGTGTCCCTGCAAAGTACCCTCCAAGCTGCGGACTTCTGAAAGGCACTAACTGGCCCAGGGGGCCTCTTAAGTGGGGCCCCGGGGGGCCCCCTCCACTCCCGCTGCGCCTTTTTCTATTACTTGCCCTTTTGGGGCCCCCCCCCAATGCTGGGGAGGCCCCTCTCCCCCGAGGGGCCCCCGGGGGCCCCCATTCAGGCCCCTCAAAGGGGCCCCTTTTTGACCCAAGAGCTGCCCCGCAGCTGCCTGGCTTCGGCGCTGCAGCAAGCCGTCCCCAGGGGCCCCCTAAGCCCTCCTCAGTACCCTGGGGGCCCCCCTTTTCTGATGGGCCCCTCTGCGGGGGCCCCCCCCCCTGGCCTAGCCTTCTTGGGCCCTGCCTTTCCCCCAGAGCTCAGCAAAAACTTGTGTGCGGCTTTTCTAAACACTAGCCCTTCTGGGGGGCCCCCCGGGGCCCCTCCAAAGGAGCCCCCGGGAAGGCCCCCGGGGGGCCCCCCAGGGACCCCCCTGACCTTTCTGCCGCTCTCGTTTTTGGCTGCTGCGCTGCCGGAGGTGCTGAGCGATGTGGAGTTCGTTGCTGCCCATTTGCAGGTTGACCCTAACCCAGCAGCAGCAGCAGCAGCAGCAGCAGGCAGCAGCAGCAGCAGCTCGCCGCCTAGCGCCAAAGAA